AAGGAGAGGCGGATACACGATTAGATGGTTGTATTATGTTTTGGAATCAGGGGTTTGCCCTCATCTTTCAGGGCATGCTGATCGCAGATTCCCGAAAACGTTGTGCAAATACTGTTACGTTCTTCTTGTGGACAGCTTTGGTGGAGTAAACAACACTCCAGTGTAGCTGACCGTTGACGGACACCGATGACTACAGTCATCATTGGTCCAATGTCTTTTGGGAAAAAGCTGAATGCACTCTTCGTGTGATAAAATGTTGTTGTTTTTCATGAGATTAGTTACCGCGGTTTGAGAGCTCAAATACAGGATATCGTCCTGCAAATTTGACATCTCTTTTAGCCTTTTCTACACTTTCAACAGAGCTTATCAAACCATTTTTCAGAAGAGTGCAAATACCATACTGCTCAGTTTTAGCATTTATCTGCTCTCTTGTGCCAAATGAGATCTTTCGCGCCAGATTCCAGACAAAAGGATTTGGAGATGATGTATTAGGTAGAGTTATAGTCAGAAATACTATACCAATGTATATTTTGATGATTGGTTGATTATCGTCTTAGGATTAGAATGAAAATATTTTCATTTTGATGATTGTATAGTTATTWTTGTATTAAAAGCTACTCTATTTAATAAGCGTTTATTTATCTAACACGATCAAATGGTACTTTTTATCGATTGTGATCGCCTTATTCAACACCTTTGATTAGTTTGATCAGTAAAAAACGGCTGTGAGAAGACTATTTCGGTGTCACGTTGTCTGTTTTATGCTTGTAACTGACATCCCAGTTTGATAATGGCTTCAAGAAAATATTCTGACAATATTGTTGCGTGTTTCTTGTGGACAGCTTTATTGCTGTACACAACACTCCAGCATAATCGCCCGCCGATTGTTACTGAAAATACCGCCATTGTTGAACCCAAGTCAGTTTCTGACATACCAGTGTAAACTTTTTTCGCGGTAAACTTTCTTTGATTTTCACATGGAAAATTACCGCGATTTGAGAGCACAAATAAAGGATTTCGTCCTGCATATTTGGCATCTCTTTTGGCCTTCTCCACCTRTTTAACTGAGCTTGTTAAACCYTTTTCCAAAAGAGTGCAAATCCCATACTGTTTTTTAGCATTTATCTGCTCTCTTGTYTCAAATGAGATCTTTCGCCCAAGATCCCAGAAAAACGGATTTGGAGATGATGTATTAGGTAGAGTTATAGTGAGAAATACAWCCCCAATGTATAATCCAAAGCTGTTATCACTGACAACAGGCCTGCAGCCATCTCTTATCCTTGCTGGAATAHCAAAATTAYCATCAATTGGATTTCCACCGATTTCCRCTACCATTCTGGKTATTGCAACTGCAAAACATGCACCAAGTGCTCCAGTGACAGTGCATTTGTTCGATTTACAATTTTGTACTAAAAGAATCGTTTGTGCTTCGGTCAAAGAGCCTGGAATTAGACAGGTTTTAGGTACCATGGTTGGATTTTGTACCAGAGGAGGTGGAAACAGGTTAAGAAAGGAGTTTTGTACACCTCTGTAGGTACTTAATTTATCGTTAGCTTTGTAAGCTATCCACTTCCACCAGCTCATTTGAGTCTCATGTTTGATAAGCTCCAGTAAAGGCGGCAGAAGAGGCATGGGCTCTAGATTTTCTTCCACAAAAGTGTTGGAGTAAATCTGATCCAAAATCTCGAGAAYTTTGTCCAAGAATTTCATGATAGATATCCCGTCACTGATTGAATGATGGAAGCTAAGTAGAAATATGGTGGTATACTTCTTTCTTGATGTATCAAAGTCTTCTTTGATCTTAACAACACGCCAAAGAGGACCATGAGCTAAGTCGTAGCCCTCTTGCAGTTCTTTCTCGAACCTTCGTACCCAGTCTTCGGTGTTCTCTTCGGAATACAAGAGTTCCTTATGYCTGAACTGAATCATTTCTGTATGATAGCGATTGTTTTGTTGCCACTCACACRTCATTCGTAGAAGHGGGTGAATTTTAGCCAAAGAAACTAAGGCTTTCACAAGAAGTTCCTTTTTCAGCGGTACCATAGATTCAATGAAGACAACGTTGCTTACCAAGGCTTCTCCATACAAATATAGGTTATCATGAACGCCACGCTGAAATTCACCGTCAAATATTCGGATTCTTTTTCTTCCCGTTGTTGGGTCTATAACTTCGTCGATGGCTTTTGGTCTTTTCTTGTTGAGAAACTTGTATAGAACATAACCGAAAATTACAAATGGTAATAGTACAGTTATGATAATTTCCACTGACTTCATCTTTGTAGCTTGAGACTCAACTGAGAGTCAAGATGTCTGGCTTGAGCAGGCTGATTTTCCAACGACAACAACGACAAGAAATGGTCCAAACTGAACCGAGGAATGAACGGTGTATGTGATAAAGAATTAATTTGATTATGATGGTAGTCAAAGCCATCAATTTCATGAATTTGATGCTGGTTTATTTATTACGCSTTTTGGAAGAAGTTATGTTACCCGTGCAACCGCAAAGCAACATTTGGCAAATATCGAGAGAAAAGTTAGGATAGAAACAGAAATGTTTCAAGGATTGACTCGAACTCTCACCTTTKAAATGAGCAAGTCACACACTCCGAACACGTGATGAGAAATAAAAAAAAAAAATGAAAAAGCGATAGACAGAATGAAAGTCATGTTTGGGTTGTAAATAGGTAAAGACGACAACAAAGTCATTTGCATAATTCATGTTTTTAATTTATTTTAGTTCCAGAAAATTTTCTTTTTAATTAAATGCTCTGAAAATCAATGAAATAAATAAGAAAGAGTTACMTAGAAAGCCACAATTAAAAGTTTTAAAACTACTATTTTACATTTCACACAAGCTCAGTAGAAAGTTTGGCTATTTTTGAGTGCTATATTTTTATAGCCATCAAACATCATCTCACGCAAAGGTCCAGTATGTGACATTGTTTAGCGATTTTCTGGCGAAAAACGAAATATTTTCAAAACCAATTGACAGCGATTGTTACCTAATCATACTTATCAATATACAAAATATGAATAGATTTGATTTTTAGAGTCTTGTCAAGATATGTCTGATTTTTGCGCGAAGTGGCTCTCAAAACGTCTTTGCAATGTCAATAACATTTAAGTCGCTTTTTGGATCTAAAATTGTAACCACAATTCTTCCTGGGGATTTTTAAAGCTTTTTTATGTCAATGACTTTGTTATTGTCTTTATGCCTTTGCTGTGGATACTCGATACAGAGAGCCCATTTTGACGTCGATATAGAATGTTATAGAATGACTTCAGTATTATAGCGTAGTACAGGGAGCCCATATTTTGATGGTTGTATAGTTGTTATTATTAATAGGTYTTTTTATCTGAAATTTTAACGAGAAATTTACAAATAAACAAATTTAAACCGAAAAWCAGACAGGACGGACAGAAACGTATTCAAAAACACTTCTTTAAGGTTATGAAACACCCTGATACCCATTTTTGTGAGTGAGATTGTGTTTTATTAAGTTAAATCAGTAAAAGTAAGTTTGATTTAAAATTGTTGAATAAGGTGACGGTAAAAAATACCTCTTGGTGTGGAATATTGGAAGTGACCCGACACAAACTTTCGCGTACATAATGAAGTTGAATTTTCGTAGCATGCATGTTTCTGCTGCTCATGCGCAAAGGACCACCTTGATCTAGCTCAGACGAAGGCTGGATACAACTTACTTATCGAGAAAATAAGGATCTTTGAATGATGGATAAATYCCTATTCACCCTTTGTACAACTAGGTACTGACTAGTTTCAGTAAAATTTGCCAGTATACGACGAAGGCTAATTTATCCTTTTGATATTATGCTATATTGCACATCACCTTTTATACGAATACGACCAGRATACCTTTATAAAAAAGCGCACATGCAATATCGATCAAAATTATACTCATACTGGTCCATAAATTTGATTTTAGTGTTAAATTGCAAATGTCTCACCGAATGAGGTCCCTTTCATTTTAAAAATCAACTAGTTATAGTTCAGACTAGTGTAGTTTTTGCGTCATTATAAATTTTTTTGCGTGCAKAGTGTATTTTTATCTGTTCATTTTTCCACAGTCAAGTCGACCTATTGTTGTCCTCTTGAAATTAAGTTGATTTCAAGTAGATAAACAAACCAATATCCCACATTGTACAAAAAATACGTCAAAGGAAAGAAAATCRTTGCGTATTTATCGACAACGTTGGTTGATTCGCCATCGGTGAAGTTTTCATTTAAACTTCCCTTTCTCTTYTCTTCTTGCGGRTTTCTTTGCCTCAGTTCCCCATTCACATTATTTTGTGTTCCGCTGAATGGCGCAACTCTAGAAAAACCTTTTTCGTCTCTTCCATTCTGAAAACAAACATAGTTGGATGAGAATGAGTGAGTGCTGGATTTGAACAATTTATATATCTCTGGAAGCTAGAACTCGTGAATAAGAAGTTCATTATTGACCAAACCTCAGGTGTTATGGAATAAGCACAATTTAACAACTTAAATTGTTAATTAAGGTTCAAATGTAAAAAAATTAACGTATAAAATTAAAGCTTACTTCTACGTCCTTGTCGTCATCGTCACACTGTCAGAACAGATTAAAATGTTGGTTAATGTGTCGYTATATTATTTACCAGCAAAGAAGCAAAGCATTATCGCCATAATTAAAATAAGCGCTGAGAAATAACTAGCTTTCAGCGTCTGTACTTAAA